CGAGGGCCCGTTGAAACGGACGCACGCTTAAACCTGCCGCGGCAACAATGGATCGACCCGGGCGAAGCCGACTGACATCGCTCGCAGGCCGCAAACCTGAAGCCATCACTGCGCAAACCTGGCGGCACCCACGCGGCCGCTGATCGCTGGAAACTCCGCCTCTCTCTGGGCCCAGGCCAGGCGCGCAGCCGCGGCCAGGAGGACGCCGACGCATCGGCTTGCCCGCGGCCCACGCGGATTCTCAGACCGAGCACCAGCGGGGCGACCGCGGCGCAAACGCTGCCAAACCCTGGGGGCGCCACGATTGGAACGCACGCGCGCCTCTACCAACGCGAAGGCCCTGCGCTGCGACGCCCTCTAGCTGCCCCTGTGACCCCCCTCGGCACTGCCGGCGCGCACGTTTAAAATAAGCGTCGGTGCCTTCCGCGCCACGGGAGTCGACGGGCGATGCTCGTTTTTCCAGCCGCGAATTTAAAATTCCCGCAGCCAATGTTCGCCGCGGGCGCGCCGCGGGGCGTCGACGGGCGGGCGCTGGGATCATGGCAAAGACACTTAGGGCGCTTACCAAGGCCTTCAGAATCGAAACTCTCGCTGGCTCTAAAGTCGCGGCGGAAAGCCGGTCTGCTAGTCCGCGCTTCCCCACCGCATACCTCCATCTGTCGACGCCGTTGTCGAGTGAAGCGAGGTGAAGAGCTGGTGGACAGCGTCGAATTCGGACTGCGGTGTTTGAGCGCTAGCTATTTGGCGGTCAACCTCTGGTTCGGGGGCCGGCGAGCCCCGGAAACACCACGTGGCAGACCTGCAAGAGGGTTGCCACGGAGGTCATCCTCGCCGCACTCGCCGTCACAACCAGAGTCGCCAAAGGCTGGAAGGCCAAGAAGGCATGGGGCCAGACTGGAGAGGTCGGAGCTGCAGTCGTCGCAGTGGCCCTCGAAGACCTGCCTGCGCGTCTTGGGCACATTGCCCTCCTTTGTCCTCGCATCCCGGCGCGCGCGCTCTGCCGTTGGGCAGGAGCGCGCGGCGCAGCCACCAGACGCCTCATCCTGTCGTTCGCGCGCGCGGCCCTGGGCGCTTTAATGAGATTGCCCAGAAGAGCGGTTCTGGACACGCGATGTGCTGTGCACGGGGTCTGGGGCGCGCTGCTGGGCGCAGTGATTGCGCTCTGCCCAAGGACTGGAAGACGTTCGAGTCTGGCGATCCAACTGCCGTCGCGCCTCGTTGAAAACGCACTTTCCTCGATGCGCCTGCGCCGGTTGGAGCGCAGCTGCACCAGGGCGCAAATCGCCACACTTCGCGGCGCATCCGGGCCGCATACACTAGTCGGTCGATGATCGTCCAGTCGTCGATGCGCTCTTCCAGAGATTGATTTTGCCCCAGCGCAGCTGGTTGCGGGCGGGCGCCCCGGGAGCACCTCAAAAGCAGCGCTGCTGCGCTTGGCCTCTGGGGCCAAGGGCCTGCGGCAAGCCCGATGCGAGCTCCAGCGGAGCACGCGGGCGTCGATCATCTGCCGCACTGCTGGTCGTTTCCACCGTTGGCGACGCTGGCCGAAGACCACTATCCCGGCGCCAGCGCCCTTGGCCCCGGCGCGCCAATTAGGGGGTCTGGGACGACGCGGACCCAGCCCCTGTTCGCGTCGCACGCAATCCACCGCAGCATCTGCAGTTGGCGCCAGGGAACGCGCTGTCGGAGAACGACTTGCTGGCACCCTCGAAATCGGAAGTGCGCCAGCCTGGCGGGCCGGTCAGGCAGTCTCCTGGCGAGGCAGCTCCGCGGGGCAGTCGGACGTTGCGCCGCCCGCATCTCTCGCGGCGAAGTCCGGCTATGGCGCCATGGCAGCGCGCCCCGAGCCTCCAGATCCATGAGACGACGGAGGAAGGTTGGGAACGGCCACGATCTCGGCATCGTTGTCGATGCGCCCCAGGGATGGGCGATTCGGCGGCCTGCTCGACCGCGCACGTCCGCGGGCCGGCGTTCGGCGCGACCGCTTGGATCTCGTCGCGAAAGTCGGGGCCCACCACGCCGCCCACGACATCGACCCCTTTGAATGCGAGTCCTGAGAGAGGGGCAAAACGAACAAGTGCACGGCGGCGCTAAGGCCGCCACGCCCGCCGACACCAGTTCGCCACCACAGGTCGCGATACTGACGCCCGCGCAGGCGTGAAGATCGCGGCCAGCGGCCTCGGGCGCGCCCCGCGAGGGTGCCCGCGCGTTGGGGCTGAAGGGCTGGATCTTCAGCTTCTTGAACTCGCGGCCGTCAGTGACGTCGTCACCCTGGCCGTCATTGCCCGCCGCTAGTAGCGCGAGCTGCTTGGGCGGCAGGCCACCGGAGCGCAGCTGAAGCTCGCCGAAATCGTCGAGAGGGCTGCACAGGTGGCCGCTCGGCGCAGACCCCCGATCGAAGTGCGCGGCGCTGGGGCCCCATGTGATCAAGTAGCCGCCTGGCCCACGGAAGGTGAAGCGTTTGCGATCAATGCCCGCATCTACCACCCCGCTGTTGGACTGCATGGACTGCAGACCTGATAGGGCAAGGATTCAGCGGCCGCGCCCTCCACGGCGGGAGCGCGCTCGCCGCGCTGACTGGTCGCGCCATCGCGGGAGGTCGTCGCGATAAGGCAGTGAACCTCGCTGCTCGCTACCTGCGACCGGTCGCCGAATCCTGCCACGCACAGCGGGGTGGACAACTTCTCCCCGGATGGTTGCAGCCTCGCCTGCCGGGCCTTGCGGGCCACGTTCCGGGCGTAGCGCGGCCCCCAGAGTTTCACCCAAGCGTCGACGTCGACGGCGACGCCTAACCGGCCACCTGATAGATCGGCGCTCGCCAGGTAGCGTGGAAATTCGCTCGATGAGCTCGAGCCTGTACCCAACGAGGTCGGCCACCACGGGAACGTCGGTCTGCATGGCGGCACGCGCAGGTCCAGATTAGGTTCGCAGGGCACCGCAGTGTCCACTGCAGACACGAAGCTGGCCGCGCTGCCAGGCGACTGCACGAGGTCTTGCCGAGGCACCCAAGCGACAGGAACCAGTCGAGCAGACTGCGCGAGGTCCTTCTGCAGCGCGGCCACCTCCAGCACGCCCCTATCTGCTGCCGCGCGGGCCAGCGCCACAGGCGCCAGACCCATCGGTGCACGATCTGCACCGATAGAACGGATACCAACGATAATGTCGGCTAAACCAGGGCACGCCGGACAGTGCACCAAACGGGTGTCTGTGTTCTGCATCAGCTGCAGATAGCACGTCCTGCGCAACATGCGGCGGCACTGCAGGGGCACGACCCTCTCGCCATGCAAGAAGGCCTCGAGGCAGACGGGACACGCTCTATCATCGATGGTGTGAAGCGGAACTGGGGGAGGCTCGGCAGGCGGCGCGGCCGGCCCAGGAGGAAGGTTAACAAAGCTTTCTATCCAACTCTGCGCGGCCTGCCATCACTGCTCGTCCTGCTGCATAAGCTCAAGCGCCAAGCGCGCGCTGTGGAGCTCGTCGAGGTGCCGTCTCTGCGCGCGGTCGACGGCGGCGCCCACGTTACGCTCGGACCGGTCGCCGGTGGATATCCAAGTCTCGTGGCCGGCGAACCACATAGCCACTCCCCCTGGCGGTTGACTCACGTCGACTGGGCCGTTCTGGTCGGACAGAACAGGCTCCTGGGGAAACCCGGGCACTGGCGGCGGCGCAACTGCCAGCCAGAAGTGCGGCGGCCACGTGGAGCTCGATCCACGCGGAACGCTGATGCCGAGGGCGGAAACTGAAGGCACGCATGCCCAATTCCGCAATTGCACGTCGGCAGGCGGGGCCGGAGGTGCGGCGACTCGTGCGTTGAGGTCGACTACCCAGTTGACCCGTAAGCTTACCCCAGTGGAAACGCACGGCCCACTCACGCCCACCGTTGCGATGCTAGTTGCGGCGGTGCTGTTGAAACCGCTGCAACTGCCAGCGCTGCTGGCGCGGCTGCCGTTCCCAGGGCAGTTGCGGCCAGCGTTTCTTCCCCAGCCGCCGCCGCGCCGGCCAGCGACGCAGTCGCGGAACCCGCCGGCTGCGCAGACAGAGTCTCGCACGCGGCTCTTGAGTTCTGCCATACCCTGTCGCAGTCGTAGCCGTTCTTCGTCGCGACGCATGGGGCGGCGGGGGGAGGAAGGGGCGAAGAGGAAGAGGATGTACCAACCCATCGTAACCAATGGCTGTGGCCGACTTGTTGCCAAGAGCCGTCTGACGACGCGCTTGGAGCGGCCGCTGCTGATGGCAGCGGCGCTGACGCCAGTGGAGTCGGTCGACCGCCGTTCCAAGGGCCTGCGCTCTGCATGGGATCATCTTCCTTGGGAACCGGAGCCACGGGCTTCAAAGTTCTGGAAGTGTCCCCAATTGTCCATACTCCTCGTAGGACTCGTTCGTGCACTTGTTGAAGTATATGTGCGCTCTTCCCGTCACCCGTCCTGGCGGATGGGTTGCTGTCGCGACGGACCCTGGAGGCACGTCTCCTGCCATGTTGAACGGAAATAAGTGCACGAAGGCGAGACTAACAGCGGATGAATAGCGTGATGAACAGCGACGGAGGGTTGGAGCCGGCGCTGCCGAAAAGCAGCGTCACATGGCAAGGCCGTGGCAACGGAGCATATGCTGACTACAGACATGAATGTGAGGAAGGATGTGAAATACGAAGACTTCTGTAAAGCGGAATGAATGTGTCTAACAGCGGTATGATAGTGGGGCTGAGAGCGGGCGCTGGGCGCAGCGGGCGGTACAGGCAAAGATAAGGTGAGATAAGCAAGAAAGGAAGGCAGACCGTTCGAGTGAGAAGAGGGGGAGGGGGAGGAGAAGGAGGAGGAAGAAGGAGGAAGAAGGAGGAGAGGAATAATGAGAAGGAAGAGAAATGAGAAGAAGGAGGAGGTAGAGGAACGAGGAGAAGAAGGAAGGAGGACGAGAAAAAAACAGGAGGAAGAGGCAAGCGGCGTGAGGAGGCGGAGGAGGACGACGACGAGGAGGAGCGAAGACTCGGAGAAGCGGCGCTC